TTCACTTGATAAAACCGGAGCCTCGTATAATTCTCTGTAGAATAAAGGTATTTACCGGAAAGACGTATAAATGTCTCACAAGAACCTGCCAATGAACCTGACATATGAGACAATTTCAAAATTATGGTGAATAATGTGGATTTTGGCTAAACATCTTTAATACCATTAAACGTTTTCTGTGTCTTTAATGCGGGTTAAATAATTATATTTTTTTTATAATTCATCAAATCAACGTACCGAAAGGATAGTTACTACTCTTTTTCATCATGTGGAATCGATTCTCCCCCAAATGAATGATTGAAAAAATTAATATTTGAAAAATATGAAACCTCCGCCATGTGTCAATTTTTGCCATTTAAGAAGGTCATGTCTCAGTTATTGCCACCCTTCCGTGCCAGTCAATGCCAGATGGAAAACTACCGCGCAGCAGGAATATTATCCGCAAAGTTATTCCAACCGTTTCCATTCATAATTAAAAACTTCTTACTTCTCAAACATTAACGATCATCACAGCAATTTAAAAAACATAAATAAAAAAGAAAAAAAAGAGTTGAATTGTTTCTCATTTTTCAAGATTTCAGACGTCAAAGTGTCCTTCATCAGGACATTAATTAATTTTTTTTAAATTCAGATTCCTTCCTACTACCGTTACAGTCTTATAGGCTCCCTATGTCGTCTGCCTTTATGCCTTTCTCCCACTCTTCTCTTCATATTTATCTGCGTTACTATGGGCCGTCTTACTGTTATCATTTGTCTAACAGTGACTAGACCAAGAGTATTTTTTAGGCGCAGTATAAACATTAGTTTTTCGAACATATTTTCGAGAAAACGATTTTTGAAAGAATGAAATTTAACACATTGCGTCCATAACAGCTGTATACGCCCACCTTCAATCCAATAGTTCAGTCTTAAAGCGTTTTCTCGTACACATAACCATATATGACTTTGTTCGCTATACGCTCTAGTTTTTTTTGCGACATTAAAAAACATAAGTTTCCGGACAGATAATTACAAACAATCAAATTAAAAGCTTCTTGATTGGTATGACGGCAATATTGGGTGGTTTGAATCCGCGTGTTCCTGACGTCTGGCAACAGTCCGCTCAAGTGACTACTCGGACCGAATTTACGAGGTTATATGGAACACATGTGCAGTGTTGCCGTATGATCATTAGAGGTTAGACCAACGAGAGTCAAGTGTGAAATTGAATAAAATATTGTTCACAATATTCATTGAAGAAATTCCCGAAAAAATGTGTTCAACAATGAAAAATCCGAAAAAGTATGGGGACAGCAAGATTTTCGACAAAACTGAAATCTTGCTTGAAAAAATTTGCCAATTTGAACGAAGTGCTTGGATATCCTTAATAATATCATAGATTGTTACTGATTTTAAAAAATGTTCAATTCATACTTTTTTATGCAGAACAAATTAAAGAATCAATGAAGGACACTTAGAAATTCGAAACGTGGGCAAATGGGGAAGAATTAGACTCCTTTTTTTTTCTTTTTTATGACTATTATTTTTTTTTTGTAATTGCGGTGAAATAAAGAGTTCTTAATTGACCGTTAATGGCTGAGAAGTAAGGAGTTCTTAATTGTGATTATCCAATAATAACGATCAAAATGACATTAAATCGTCTATAAAATGAACCGAAAGAAGGTATATACTTGCTGTCCCCATACTTTTTCGGATTCTCCCACCATCATAAATACAAAGTGTCAAAATTCTGATAGATCTGATCGCTTGCTCTTAAATACGAGTGGCAGAAATAGGGCTATGGCTAATTGGGTGACAAGGGGGGGTGGGGGGTGTCCCAGTTAGTGCCACTTTTCAACAGACTGCGGACACTTTCTTATTTAATTCTCAATGTTTGTAATTGTGTGATTACAATCATTTTGTTCAGACTGGAGGAATAGAAAATTCCCTCTCCACTAACATGATTTGTTACTCTTCCTTGGTAAATTTTAAATTTGATTCTCTCTATTAAGAAATCGCTAAGTGTGGCAGAAACCGGGACAGTGGCAGTTACTGCGACATTGACGGAATCTCGAAAATTTTGTATGAACGGGTATACATATTTTGACTGATTGAGATAGAAGACATCGCGACAAATATTTTCAAAAAAAATTATTGAAAAGGGTTGAATAGTTTTCGAGAAATTTTCGAAAAATGGTTTGGAAATGAATAGCGATTTCTCGGAAACTCTTAGTCCGCATTGATCCCTATCATCTGACAAAATTTCAAATTTTTTTGAATCATTTCGGCCCTTTAATTCTTCGATTTTCGAAAAATGTACCGCCAAGTGGACACACGCACATACGAATAGTAGCTCAACTTCGTATTTTTACTTTCCAGACTTATTCTACAGGGCGTCCCAAAATGGAATGTCATGGCGAAAAATTAATTCACCTGCCATCGTTAACTTAGATAAAATCGTCGCCTTTCAATTAAATTGTCGCTTTTTTGAGTTTTTTTACAATTTTTATGCGGATAACTAACAAACCGCTGAGGCAATCGATTACATGATCTGATCAGTTGTAAGTTACATGAAGACACATCGATTGAAGAAAAAGTTGAATCGGTTCATTTGTTCCGGAGATATCGTTGGACAAAATTTCCGCCACATACGCACGCACGCACACACACATACACATACACACACAAACATATCTTCAAAAACGTTGCAGGATGACTCAAGTGGTCATAAAACACGGAGAAAACATCGAAATTCAACATTTCATTTTCGGGGTGATTACGATAACTTCCTCTCTTTGGGTCGGGAAGTTGATTAAAAAATGTGAAGACTGAACTTCAGCACTTTCTTTCGGACGCAAAAACAGGAATGAACATTGTGCCATCTTCGTTAGATTCAGAGATGCAATTGTTCATGTAAATACTTCATTGTTATTCCTTTCCGCCCAAGCATTATCGTTATTACCTTGTGCAGGATTCTTATCATTATTTTTCAGATCAATATCTTGAGTCCTCTCGTGGGATTGTCAACTTGTTTTATGATGTTTATATTGGAGTGCTCGAGATATTGCTGAAAGTTTTCCCATCCTTCTTCTGTTAATTCTGATATCTCAGATATCTCTGAATAAATAAAATAAATCAATAAATACACTCACTAATGCTAATTTTAAAGTGAACTTTAAACCGAATAATGTATGCAATTACTATAATCTTAATGAAAGTGATACTATTGAACACTTCTGCCTTCCCTGTACTGCTACTCTCAGACCTCAACCAACCTTTTTTGTAAATTTTTCTCATTTTCTGAATTGTTCAATGAGCCACATAATTTTTGAAGCAAATTTTGGTGAAAACAAAGGCATCTGTCAATTCATCCTAAGCTGTTAGTCAATTGAACATAAAATAGATCAACAAAATCTGTTCGATTCACTCAAAAATCCATTAGTTTCGGCGCATGATAAAATCTTATGTTCGATTTTATCTCTGCTGTTTGCTGTTTATCACTGTGCCCTACAGTATATTTAGTATAAAATATCACATGATCTCTCGCTGGGACTTTTTTATACGCCCAAAAAAAAGTTGACACCAGCACCGATCGCTACTTGGGAGAAATTCACTTGTGAAAAGTATGAAAAATACTTGTCTCAAATTATTTTTGTGTCCTTGAGTGAAGTGCTACATCTGCCGATTAATTCATTTTAATATTGACTTTTAATATTTTAATATTGACTTTTGAAAAAAGATAGAGGAGAATGTTGGATTTTCAATTCACTCAATTATTCACTCTATTTCCTCGTCGACGAAGAACACAGGATAATTTTTCAAACAAAAATCATTTGGAATTCAAAACTATTCACACAGAAAAATCGGCAGATAAAATAAGTTTTTGAATTGGTAATTCACGTTTCCAAAAACGCAATTTTACCTTCAAATTTTTCTGTGTGTTCGCTTGTGCTTCAACATTTGGATTTTCGTTTATAATCTTGAATGAATATATTGAATTCTTTTGGTTCTTTAGTCTCAAAACGTCTCAAAACGTGTATCTCATTTTTTCCCCTCTGCAACGGGGCTTTCCTAAAAGTATCCTAAAAGCAATAAAAAATAATAATAATAATGATGAAAATAATAATAAATACGTATTTTGTATCGTTTTTTGATTCCCGGTGAAAATCGCGTTTGAACCCGACACCAATTATTAGAGAAAAAAAAAGATATTCATCGAAACGTTAGTTTCAAATGAAATCGACTTATCATTCTGCATAACTTCGCTGTTGAATCATCAACAAAAAGAAAACGAACGGACTATTTACGCCAGTGACGGGTTTTTTAAAGATGTAAGGACCAAACATCTGTACAAGTATTTCATGTTTTTAAAATATTTTGACATCCCTAGATTCGTCCAAATTGAATCTCCCACTAGCGAATATTTAACTACACTGACAGAAAAATATCGTAGTTTCTACTGAACATATTGTTATGGAATGCTTGGAATGAATGAATAATCCATTCTCTCCCTCTGAAGTGTGAATCAAGTGACAATTGAATGATGTATTGATGATGAGTTAGTCTCTTGTCAATTACGAATGAATTTGTCTCTCTCTTGCTGTCATTAAAATAAAGCAACCCCTTTAATGAAATAAAACTCTGTTATTTACTACAATATGTTATTGAATACGATTCCGTTGATATCGTTTACAATAAGGTTTCAAATCAACGGACCGTGATGCATTCAAATAACTATTAAAATTCGATGGAATATTCAGGGAATACAAAGGAATATATGATCGATTGGAGCCCTCATTAAATCGAATGATAAGTCTCATGTTTGGAGCCTTCAGAATCAACCATTGAAGGATACAATTTAATCATGCAATCGGCTGAAAGTGACGACATATTCCGTCGCGCCAATGGATGTTTCATTGGCACTATTGAAAAGCACTCACCGATTGAGTCAAAAAATAATCCGTCCGATTTACTACATTTTTCTCTCAGTGTAGTTTCATATTTATCGAAAAGTCTCTTACCTGAACAAACGTGACGTTGTAAGGAAAACCCTTATGATCTCTGTTCTTACTGAAGCCGGGCACATCAATCGGTCCATAATTGATGGGCATGGACATGGGAAAGAAACTGGCATCGCAGTCCCTGGACTCATTGGCCGCCTCCTCATTACTCGCAGGTGACCTCACGCAGTTAACATAATGTTTAATGTTCCTCCTTGCAATTCCAATCAACTTCCGATCAATGTCAATGCCCGTGACACTGTGCGCCGCAAAGTCCCGGGCAACCGACAGCGTGATGTGTCCAATATTGCAGCCAATATCGAGAATATCCCTTCCAAAGAACATCTCCTTCCTCTGCGCAAAGACAGTCAACCTCGGATCAACGTCGTGATGTGGATTCCTGTACCCATAATACCTGTCGTAATTTCCATACTGATATCTCGCGTCCTTCTGCCTGAAATTGGGTAGCTGAAGTGGCTGCTTCTTCTTCTTATCTTGATTTAGTCTGTGGGGAAGTCTCGGCTTCCAAGCGCCAGGTTGGGGAATCACAGGACTGACTATCTTGTCTTTGACGTCTACTTTGCGCAGTCGCTTATCCTTTAGATCATCGAGACCCTTGAGTCGTAGTTTATTCTTGTCCTTAACTGGACTTTCAACTTTCGGCTCTTTCGGAGGAGGTGGAGCTGGCGTGGGGCTCGATGGCTCCACGGTTGGCACCTCGATCTCCGGTGGATTTATCTTCTCATCTGGAACCATCTCTGCAGGTGCCACAGCAGCCTCTAGTCCAGGTGGATCTTCTGTTTTAGGTTCAGTTAAACTCTCGTTTGTGTCTTCTTTTCCAGAGCCTGATGACGCTCGCTTTCGCTTTCTGTTTCGTCTCTTTGAACCTTTTTTAGTCGGCGAGATCAACTGTTTCTCATACTCCTCGTTATCATTGTCATTGCAGTTTGTCAAGTTCAGAGGGTCACAGATGTTCGGTGGAATTATAACTTCAATCGCCTCCTTTCGGTGTTTCGGCGTTGGCAAGGGACTCGATTTCGGGGTAACGGCGTTCATCGCACGATTTATCTCTTCGTCTTGCATACTGTTTAGGTTCAGGGGATCACATATGTTACCACCGAGCAAGAACTTGGTGGGTGGTATAATAGCACCTTCTTTCTTTCGTCTCTTGTAGGGGGGGAAGAATTTACCATTGCCGGTAAAACTTTGTAGACGTTTACGACCAAATTTGAAGTGACGAGGATCGTCATGCTTGTGCTTCTTGTGGGATTGTGTAAAGAGCTTGCGTGATTTTTCATTTTCTTTTTTGTTCACGTGACCCACTTTCGTGGGACGATCTACTTGAGCTGATGACATGTTTTTTTTCGGATTTATTCAGCCCTGTGGGAGGAAAAGAGTTTACTTAGTCTTCTTGTTGCAATTAATTAGAAGGGGTTTGTTTGTTTAGCGGAGAATCATCAGAGGGGTTGGAGG